TATGTGGAATCGTCTTGCATTATATGTACTGGGATTGTTCGGGTTAAAAAATGTATTGATTTTATGCCACTGAGATCGAGCATCCACACATCTTTGGTGATCTGTACCATACATACAAAAATGAGCAGAATTAAGTTTGGTGCATATTAAAATGAAAGAATACATTTTTTTCGAAGTGATATGATGTGAAATATGCAGTTGAAAAAGAAGGAAAAATTATTGATGTGATAGAAAATATTATTTTATTGAAAAATGTATGATTGAAAATGAGTAGAAAAATGAGAATGAAAAAACTAATGTGGCACAAACAAGTGCTAAAATATTATTCATTACACTCATATCTTGAAAGTTATACAGCAAAAGATAAAATTAAAAATCGAGGAGCCACTTTATTAAACGAATTTATCTTTATGTAATGATAATTTACAGGATAAATTTTAGAAAAAAGTATTATTGATATTTTTGGACCAAAGATGAAAGTGATAAAATCGTTATGAAATGGAAAAAAGAAAATTGTGCTCAAAGTTAGTTATTTGTATATCCAACGGACAGTCAAAGAATGAGACATTGTAGAGGCAGAGGGATTCGGCAGTTGGTACGGCGGATTTGCGCCTCCTATCTCATGTCCATACCGAATTGCTGACAGAGTAACAATTATTTTTAGCAATTTTGTTAACTTAATGATTTATGTTATAAGTACATAATCATTCACATAATGGTTCACATAATTACACGTGGTATGTGATCCTACCTTTAATTCAATGGTTCACATAATTACACGTGTCATGTGATCCTGCCTTTAATTCAACTTTCACACTTACACATCAATAAGTGGATGATTACCACGTCACTATTATGTGAACCATTATGTAGACAATTATGTACAACTAGATTAATCCTAACTTAATTTTCAGTATATATATATTTTTTAACATTTTATCATCTATTGGAACGAAAAAACAGAATTGCTTGGTAGAAAACATGTTTTTTTTTTTTGTCTTCTCTTTGCTCAATCAAGAGCTCGATTGAACTTCTTGTTCCTATGGGAAAATATTGGATAAGGCAATTTAATTCAAAGAAATATGCTCAACGTACAATATACTTATTAACATGCATGTTATATTGGACGAGGCAATTGAATTCAAAAAAATATGCTCAACGTACGATATACTCATTTAGTTAACATGTATGTTCACTTGAAAATATGTTGTTGAGAGAACTAAGCT